AGATACTTTGTTAGATATATTACCTATAATGATAAGAGTTAAGAACGGTTGCACTTTGACCATAAATTTCTCAATTCTAGCAGCATTTGTTAGCTAACAAGATTGTGGCATGAGATATAGGAATATTAACGGGTAGCTCTATTTACATCCATGCTTTTTATAAGTATATCCACTTTAAAAAATAAAATTTTACTATATTTTAAGTCATATATAAATTTACTTAAATAGACATAAGTAATAATGAAATCCACACCCATTTGTTGAATCAATTACTTCAATTCTACCCAAATCATCAAAGTTATATTCTGTCGGATGACAAATTATAATTGGCAGCCGACTACTGTTCAGTTCTGAGTTTTACCAACAAATCCCAGCAGTTCTTTTGTTGTTCTTCTTCATTTTCTCATTTTTCTTTTCCATTTTTTTTCAAAATCAAATGATGGCTGGTGGCTGATGATTTTAGGTTGTGTTTGGATGTGGCTGTAGGGTGGTGGGTTTTGGTTTTTTGTGGGTGTGGGGTGGGTGTTTGAGGAGGAAGAACATGTGTTGATTTTGTCCAGTGACACGACGGGTAGCACCTTGTTGCTGGAGAAGAACGGAGAAGATGGACCAAATGGGGGGAACATTGGGATTTGGGAAACTGGAATTTGTCTTTTGACTTTTGTTTTTTGTTTTATGGCATTTTTTTTTAAGTTTTAATACTATTCTAAGCTTACTCATATAAAAATTTGACATCCATCTATGGATGATCCAGCAAAGTTATCATTTGTATGATTGCTTTAATTATAAAATTGCCTTCTTTGGGCCCAAAAAAAAAAAAGAAAAAGAAAAATTAGTGTCATATTAATTTTTTAGCTGAAGTGCTGGAAAACACAATACAAATTCCAGGCTTCCGGTCATCAATAAAATTAGAAAACCATGTTAAGAAAAACAACTGACATTCCAAGGCCAAGAAAATAATTTTCCAAACCCTTTATAGAGTCAATAAGAAGGAATTAAAAGGAGATATTCTCATATCCATGAGTACAATTATCATTTTCCCCAGGCCCAGGTCAATCCATAAGTTGATACCGTGCAGAATGCTTCAAAGCCCTCTAACTTCTGAAACCATCAGCATAACCAACAACACAGCCATGGAACAATGATATAAAGGTGATTCACCATATACACAGAAAGTCTAATTGAGACTTAGTGAATGGTTATCATCAAGTCTAAAAATTTCAGATTGGATGAACAAACCACATGAGGATGATCCTTGCCAGTTTTATGGTGTTTCAAGATTATGGTTGGCCAGATTTAATGAAATTGTATGTCTGTTAATAGTGTTGATGTTCGGCAGTGAAGAAACGGAGAAAAAATGAGAATTGCTATATGAGATAGGAAGCAAAGAATTACATTGATGAATGCCACTTGATGTAGTGAGTAAAAATTTTGATCTTACAGTTCCTTAAATTTACACCATACCAGTTTCATATAGGTCGTATGGGGCACTAAATAATATTATATATTTTTATGAGAGTAGTAAAGTCAAAAGTTAATCAAACAACTAACCTCATATAAAGCACCGGTAGGCTCTGTTGGAGAAAAGATGCCTTGAAGCACCACCCCGTCAGGAAATTGTATCCTGATAACCGTTCTATTATACCTCTTTTTAGCAGCTTTAGCCTGCTTTTCTCGATATGATTTAGGAATTAAAAGCTT